AGGGATAGTGGAAGCAACTGTGCAGGGAATCGTAAGAGTTGGGTCCTAACCAAGGATCTCTCATTTAAATGATTAAGTCAGCATTTCTTTTTGGTGGAGAAATTCACACATGGCTGGCTTCTGTCTTACTGTGCTACTTGCTCTCATTTAAGCCCTACCTGACTGCCCTGGATGAGGTTGCTTCTTCTCTTTTGTGCTTGCATCCATGATGAGTGCCAGGCATGTTTTTCTCTCAGTTGGCGTGCTTATCACACTGCCTTCCTGTCAGGTGTCCTCTCCAGGTGATGAGTTTCAGAGACCAAAACCAGTGCTTTCTCTGCAGCCTGTTACAGGATGGTGTTTCAGGACAGGGGTCCAGATCCAGACCGCAAGAGAAGGTTCTTGGATCTCACGCCAGAGAGAATTCAGGGCGAGTCCATAAAGTGAAAACAAGTTTATTAAGAAAGTAGGCTGGGTGCGGTGGCCCATTCCTATAATCCCAACATTTTGAGAGGCCAAGGCAGGAGGATCACCTGAGGTCAGGAGTTCGAGACCAGCCTGGCTAACATGGCGAAACCCTGTCTTTACTAAAATATAAAAATTTGCCTAATACAAATTTTTTTTTTGAATTTTTCTTTACTAAAATTACAAAAATTTGCCCTAATAAAGGCAAACCCTTATTAGCTGGGCATGGTGGTGCACACCTGTAGTCCCAGCCCTGAGGGCTGCTGGTTGCTCATTTTTATGATTATTTCTTAATCATATGCTAAACAAGGGGTGGATTATTCATGCCTCCCCTTGTTAGACCATACAGGGTGACTTCCTGATGTTGCCATGGCATTTGTAAACTGTCATGGTGCTGGTGGGAGTGTCTTAGTGAGGATGACCAGAGGTCACTCTCATTGCCATCTTGGTTTTGGTGGGTTTTAGCCAGCTTCTTTATTGCACTCTGTTTTATTAGCAAGGTCTTTATGACCTATATCTTGTGCTGACCTCCTATCTCCACCTGTGACTTAGAATGCCTTCACCGTCTGAGAATACAGTGCAGTAGGTCTCAGCCTTTTTTCACCAGCTCCTGTTCAAGATGGAGTTGCTGTGGTTCACACCCCTTTGATACCAGCACCACCATGGCACTGGAGTCATTAAATGACCGGATGGATGCTAGGATGAAGAGTGAGTAAATGAGGGAAGTACAGAATCTGCACTTACCCTGAAGAGGGCCAGTACATTGTTTCTGTTTCCTTGTTCTTGCTTTATGTACAAATTGGTAATTTAGGTTCATTTGGAACTGTTTAGGAAGAGCAAGGTTGAAAGACATTTAAGACACCATTATTGCTTTAAGAGATGTAGTTGTATATACTGTTGTATATATGTACACAAATAAATCTGCATTGTTTTCCGAGTTGGTTTGTCTTTCCTGAAATAAAATTATTTCACACAATGGGCATCTGTTTGTTGAGCTCATAGAGGAATTGCAGCATAGAAGCACTATGGCATCTAGTACGTGGTAGACAAAGATGAATGAGGTATAGATGATACCCCTAAGGGGCCAACAAAGGAATTAATAAATATTTTGTGGGTAATATTATTAGTTCACAATTATTAATATCATTGCTTTTGACAGCAGTTATAAGCACAGTGCCTGGGGGTTTTACATTTGGAATCAGGCAAATATAACAATTTTAGGGTCAGGCACAGTGGCTCACGCCTGTAATCCCAGCACTCTGGGAGGCCAAGGTGGGTGGATGGCATGAGCTCAGGTGTTCGAGACCAGCCTGGGCAGGACAGGGAAACCCTATCTCTGCAAAAAATACAAAAATTTGTCAGATGTGGTAACATGCATCTGTAGTCCCAGCTCCTTGGGAGGCTGAGGTAGGAGGATCACTTGAGCCCAGGGAGGTGGAGGTTGCAGTGAGCCAAGACTGTGCCACTGCAGTCTAGCCTGGGCAACAGAGTGAGACTCCGTCTCAAACAAAACAAAGCAAAAAGGAAAAAGAAGCAATTTTAGTATAAATTCTGAGCACTTATATTCAGAATTAGCAAACTTCTGTCTGAGGATGCTTTCTGCAGCCCTTTTTCCAATGTTTAAATACTCAATGTTAAGAAGTAAATTAGAAGTTTGGGGCACTGAAAAGGTGTTATAGACAGAATCAAAAGATAGGCTATATATAAGTACCTTTTGTTTCTCCCTGACAGTGGTAGGAAATGGAAGGGGTTTCTTGGAAGTACTCTGGAGAAGAAATGCTTATGAAATAAAAACTATGTTATATGCCCCCCCCGCCCCGCTTCTTACTGGCATTCAAGTAGAACTCAAAGGGACAGTGCTGTCACTGAGTAGTTTTACAATGAGTTGAATCTGAACAATCCATTGCATCGCTTTACTAAAATTTATTTATTTCCTTGTCTTGGCCATTTGTGTGTTTTCAGAATTTTTATTTTCCTATTGTAAACACTCTGATTTATATTCTCATAGTTACATTTTGTACATACTATCATTATAACTTCAGCATATATTTTAGAAGTAGATTTGCTGGGGAAGGTTGTAGATATTTTGGGGGCTTTTTCTGTATATCGACAAATTGTTGTCTAGCATGTTGTCCGGTGGAGCCTTGTTTTAGAGCAGTGCTGTCTGACAGAAGTTTCTGTGATGATGGCATTATTCTATATCAAATCATTCTAAAACAGCGCTGTCCATTAGACCTTTGTTCTAGAGCAGTCCTGTCTGATAGAAATTTCTGTGATAATTGGAATGTTCTGTTTGTGTGCTTTTCAATGTGTTAGCCATTAGTGACATGTGACTGTCAAGCACTTGAATTGTGTCTAGTGCAACAAAGAAATTGAATTGTTAATTTTATTTTCTGTAATTAACTTTGGTTTAAACTTAAATAGGCATGTGTGACTAGTGGGTACAGTACTGAACAATGCAGGTCTAGAAAGTTTAAATTATATTTTCATTAGCAATATGTATGTCTATTTCCTGTGTCCTTTTCAACGTGAAATTAAAAATAAAACAAAATCTTGGCAATTTGATAGGTGAGAAAGCTTTACGTGTGTTATTTTATATTATTATTATTTGTTAGTGAGGTTGAGTACCTGTGTGCATTACATTTTTATTGTTATTTTATTTATTTATTTTTGAGACAAGGTCTTCCTCTGTCACCTAGGCTGGAGTACAGTGGTGCCATCATGGCTCACTGAGCCTTGACCTCCTGGGCTCAAATGACCTGCTCACCCCAGCCTCTCAAATGACTGGGACTGTATGTACATGCCACCATGTCTGGCTCTCAAATGACTGGGACTATATGTGCATGCCACCATGTCTGGCTAATTTTAGTATTTTTTTTTTGTAAATATGGATTTTGTCATCTTGCCCAGGCTAGTCTCCAGCTCCTGGGCTCAAACAGTCTCCCTGCATTGGCCTCCCGGAGTGCTGAGATTACAGGCGTAAGCCACCGCACCTGACCCTTGGGCATTAATTTTTAAAAAATTGATTAACTGTCTGCTTTTGCCCACTTATGTATTAAGATGTTAATCTTTTTCTTTCTTATAGCTGTTTTTTTGTAACAACATTAGTAACATTTGTCTCATGTTGCATATGTTTTCCCCAGCTGCTACATACTTTTGTTTACATTCAAATTATTCTAGAGGACATAAATACTTTTAATAAATAAGATGAATATTTTTAAAGAAATTTGAGTTATATTACAATAGTTTATGGGGCTTAGGGATGAAGAATGAGAAAAAGAGTCGAAGAAAGAGACTGAGATATATCTTACTCCCAGGGAAAGGATGGAGAACATCTGAGTTGTGGTGGGAGAGGAAGAAGACCACCAGGGAAGGAGAAAAAGGTAGCCCTGAAGGCAGGAAGGAAATAAGAAAGTAAGAAATTGCTGTCTAGAGGTAGGGAGGAGGAAGGTAGTATAGTTTTGAATGCTAGCTCCAGGTGTTGGATGATTATCATTCTCCTTTGAAATAATAACTTGATGAACCACAGCATTCCAATTGCTCTTTCTCCTTAAATCAGAAGAAAACTTCTCTTACTCTTCTTTGTACTGTCTGTAGTAACCAGGGCAGGATAGCACTGTGCTCAGTGAAGCTATGTTGGGGCATTTCTTTGTTATCATACAATGCAATACAAGAAACTAGGAAAGAAATAACATAGGCTGGATGTGGTGGCTCACGCCTGTAATCCCAGCACTTTGGGAAACTGAGGTGGGTAGATCACCTGAGGTCAGGAGTTCGTGTCCAGCCTGGCCAACATGGTAAAACCCTTATTAGCTGGGCATGGTGGTGCACACCTGTAGGCCCAGCTACTTGGGAGGCTGAGGCAGGAGAATCGCTTGAGCCCAGGAGGCAGAGGCGGAGGTTGCAATGAGGCAGAGGTTGCAGTGAGCCGAGATCACACCACTGCACTCCAGCCTGGGTGACAGAGTGAGACTCTCTCTCTCTCTCTCTCTCTCTATATATATATATATATATATGAAAAAGCATAGTGATTCCACTGAATAATTAAGCAGAATAATTAATATTCAGCCAGGGTCTACTTGTTGAGACTTGAAAGTATTTGCTGGATAATGATGAACAAGTCTTTTATCCTTGTTAAGTCTTGGTTTCTTATTCTACAAAATGGGAGTAACACTTCCTACCCTCCCTCTTATGGCTATGAAGAGCAAATGAGGTGTACATATGTTAAAGTACTTTGGGAAATTCAGTGCAAGGACAAGGCTTAGGCTAGACAACTTTGTGGTAGTGGTGATGAGGGGTTATGGTACAGAGGGGCAGAGGGCATGTGTTTAATGGAGGAATATTGGTAAATACAGTACTGGGAAGAGACCAACCTGACAAACAGCTCTCTAACACTTTCTTATGGATAGCCTGAAGTTGCCAAAATTTAACAAGAAATGTTGAATGCACTGAACTGTATCTTTTAAACATCTCATTTTTGTTTATATTCATGATCACTAATTTATCTATTCACATATTTTACCAAACTTATCTTCATATATATTTTTTTCTTCCAGATGAACGGGACAAAGTTCAGAAGAAAACATTTACAAAATGGATAAATCAGCATCTCATGAAGGTCAGTTTTTATTTCTTTCACTTCTTGGAATTGTTCTGAATACTGCAGTTTATTTTGCAGTAATTGATTGTATAGCTCTGAAGCACAGCTTTTGCATATCAGCTTGCAAGCTTAAATTCTGGAGCATAAAAGGCATCTATAATTATTTGGTGTGTGGATTGTGGGTAATGATGGAGGTGAAAATATATCTATGAGTGATTACAGTGCATTTTGTGACATTAGTAAAACCCGTTATTATTGAAATCTATAAAATCTCAGCAGTTTCAGAAATCTGTAAATATTTATATGGTTAGTGCATGGGAAAGCTACGTTTCTTAGTAAGATTTTTTTTCTCTCTTAAGATTCAAACCAGGTTCTGGCATCAGATTTATGTGGATGGCAGAAGGTTAGATGAGAATAAAGATATTGTAAGGACAGAAGTCTAGACTAACTTTACTTCTTATACTTAATTTAATCCAATGATTGGTGCTTTTGTCTAACTTTGTCTATGAAGCAGTTAGTGGTTGTGGTTCTTAAATTAATATTTGTGTACCATGGGTAATTTTGAGAATGTAAACTATCCAGAAAATAGAGACACACAAAATTTGCATATAATTTCATGGAGCTATTGGACCCCATTGAAACCCTTCTGTAAATCTTGGGTAAGGAACCGTTAGGATTCACAGTTAACTATTGGTCATTTCCCCTCTTTCCCGCCTTTTATGGAGAGCTCTAAAGTTGAATAGGTCATATTTCTATTTGAAGTTTTCTCACACAGAAAGATTATTTTATTATTATTACTTTTTTCTTTTTTTAATTATTTTTACTTGATAGTAGTTCTCAAGGAATATTATTACTTTAAAAAAATTCTTTTTTTTTTTTTTTT